GAGAGCTGGCTCCGGCCCCGCCCACACGCCCCGCCTCCACCTACACGCCCCGCCTCCACCTACACGCCCCGCCCATCCCGACACAGCTGACCAAGGGCAGCCAATCACAACCGGGCTGCAGGCCGGGCACCTGAGCTCTAGAGCCAATTAGATCGTTCATATTCTCTCTCTCTCTCTGGTTTTGAAGAGGCTACCAAGCGACAAACACCGCGCCAAAGAGGAAAAGAGCTGAGAAGGGCAGAGACCGGGAGCAGGGTGCCCGCCCGCAGCCCGGGGCCGCTCTCCTCCTGCACCTCTCCTAGTGAGGAGCCCTGAGCGGCCACCCGGCAGCCAGGGGCTCCCCGGGCTGGGCCTGCTGTTGGAGCCAGAGCTCTTTAATTAACTCTGCCTTACTTCCCTACACCCCGAGGCTCCTGCACAGTGAAGATGCAAACCCAGCAATCCCCAGAGAAGAAAATAAAGGCTCTCATTTCCCGCTCGGTCCTTGGGCTGTTTGGATTGTAGCAAACGCTAAACCTTAAAATAATAACGGTACTGATATCAATGATTCCCACGCATCAAGAGCTCATTCTGGAAAAGGGAAAAAAAAAGAGCTCGTTATGCGCCGAGCCTGCACATGCCTCCCCGGGACCATCGAAGCAACATACTCTGCTGTCCCCGTTGTACAGGTGAAGAAACCCGGCTCAGAAAACCTGATTTACCCACAACCTCGGCCATGGAGCTGGTCTTTATCCCAAACCCACACCAGGCTGGACTACCTCCAGGACCTGCTTCTTTTCTTTCAATCAATCCATGAACAAATGCTTACAAAGGAACTCCCACGTGCCAGACACCTGCCGGGTGTGATGGACGCACCTGTAGAGAGTACACCCACAGAGGCCACTAGCAGGGGCTCCCATAAACTGTAACTGTGTTTAGAAGTGAGGGAAAAGGCAGAAGAGACATGGAGAAAGAGTCTCTGAGATGGCATCATTGGAATCCTGGATCCAGCCATGCCTGAAGCTAAACCCAAACTTCCTAGCTAATGACATGAGCTAGTAAACGAATCATTTCACCCTTACAATATCAGCTGTGTTTCTGACACTTGCAGTGACAAAACCCCAGCTAACACTTGAGTCACAACAGCCCCATGGATTAAGCAAATGAGGCCAGGAAAAATAAGTTCCATGCTCAAGGTGCCACCTGATAAGATAAAGCATAGAATTTGAACCGAGGTCTTCCCATAGGAATTTGGGCATCTAACTGCAACACCTTCTTGCAAGCAAAATGGTTATTTCCTAGCGACATTCTACAGGGACCAAACATACGGTGTAGAAGCACATGTTCTTCTTTCCTAGAGCTGAGGCTTCTGCCTGCTGAGGTGCTCAGACGCCCACCACCAGCTCTCCCGCGGGAACAGGGTAATGGGAACAGCACAGAGTGGAGAGCACAACCCAGAAACCCAAGCCCAGTGACCACCGACTGGCCTGGCCCTCCTGGTCCTCCCCGGCTCTGGTCCGGCTCTGCAGGGTAGACAGCTGGGGGCGGAGGCATTCACCAGGGGGATGCCGGGGGAGCCTAACTGACCCTCGCAGCTCAGAGCCTAATGCCAAAGCCCCCGCAGTGACCTCTGCCCTGCTCTTGGCTCTCGCTCTTCCCCATAAGCCCTCGGCTCCAGGCAGTGCCATTCTGGCGTCGGATGCCCACACAGACACCAAGCAGAGCGGTCCCCCCCATTACCCCATCCTGGGGCACTCTGAGGGTCTGAGGGTCCCACACCTCCAGCCCGTGACAGGACATCAGCCACGCTGTGTGGAGACTCTACAAACAGGGAAACCGAGGCCCAGGGAGGGCAGAGGACTGGCTGATGCCCACCAGAGCTCTTCCCCAAAGCACTGCTCCAGAGACAGGCCCTCCTGTGCCCAGACCTGAGCTCCTGTCCCCCCTCCAGTCTCTGCTTCGGCTGGTCCCTCTGCCCTAGAGTGGCCAGGTCCACTTAAGTCAAAATGCCGCTGGACCTCCAGGGGTGCAGCCCGCGCTGCCAGGGCGCCTAGGAAGCCGTCCCACCTGACGCACCTGCCAGGGGGGACTCCGAGCACCTCCAGCTGGGGGCGCTGTGGCCTGTCCCTGGAGGGGCCAGGGAGGCTTCCCGAGGGAGTGGGCTCTGGAGACCAGCAGGGAAGAGCAGGTGCCAAGAGCTGAGGCGGGAAGAGTGGAATGTGCCGGAGACAGAGGCAGCCAGTGCCTCTGCTGCCCAGTGGAGGAGGCGGGCAGGACGAGGCCAGAGAGCGAGGTGTGCCAGCTCGAGGCCTCCCGCCTGCCTGGCCCGCCAGCCCTACCCAGGTCGGAGGCTGAGCCCTCGGCCTCTGGAGCCTCTCAGCCAGCAGACAGGAGCCGGGGCTGAGCAGCAGGCCCGACGCCACCTCCCAGCCTCAGTCTCCTCCACGGTAGGGGGGGTGCCAGCATGCCCACCTGGCATAGTTGGCAGGGCCAGGCGCCTGCCAGCCTGGCTCTCGGCCCCTCTCCCTATGCACGCCAGGACCCAGCGCTACCCCAGGGGCTC